TGATTGGAGCGCACACCGCAGCCTGAGTATTCCCAGGCGTAAGAAGAATTAAAGCCGGAAGCAATATCAAACGCTCCTCACGGGCTGCACTTGGACTTTGCTGCCCCGCGTCTCCTAAAGGAGGTGGTGCTGACGAGCTGTTAGTTAGGATATTACTTTTGTGGAATATTAGTTTTTCTTCTCGTGGAAAATAACTAATATTATAACATTTAAATGCAATTCTAAACTATTGTTATTGTGTCCCTCCATTGAATACATTTGGAACCTCCACAAGTCTCTATGAAATGTATTAAAACTTCAGAGTCTGGCGCCTGATAAAACTTTTGCAGCTAACTTTTGATGTTTCACTTCTGTAGATGATGTGAATCCATTTTAAGCCTTGTGGGTGAAACGGCCGAGACATTTAAAGAGCAATGTGTGTTTTTGACAGCTTTTTGGCTTTTCCCATTAACACAGAATGTGTGTATGGCAACAAAATAAATCATGGGTGCCTCATTTTCAACAGACTTTTGTAAGAGAAATTTTGAAAAAATTCCGGTGACCTAGACTCAGGTGTAAAACATCTGATTCTGTACCCGGCCGCAAAATACTCCAGGTGGAGCTGTGGGGAATATAGAACACTGCGCTCCATCACACTTTTATTCCACTCTATCTGTCAATATTCACAATGTATTCTGGCGGCAGTGTGAGCTTGTTCTATTCTCTGATCTGTCTGTGAGGAGTTTCTGATTTGTCTCATTCAGTCTCACGGCCCTTGGGCATTGTCACTAGTGCCATAGTGACTTTATGTGTGGTTTAAAGAAGAATGAGGTCAAATAGATATGAATAAGGACAAATGAAGCTTGTACTGTATCAATTGCTCTTACAAGAGATCAGAGGAAACGCCTTCTCTGAGATCAGCAGAACTACTGGTGGCCGTGGGAATTGCTACCCCCAACGCAGACCATACAAACCCTTGTAAGAGAGGTAACTTGACTGCAGCCAATTTGGAGGCGATAAATATGATTGAAAAGGCAGAACACAGCTTTTCTCAGTTTCAACAATGAGGGTTCAGTACAGCGTCAGTGCAGAGCTCATGTTTCCTGTGCATGGCTCCAGAGCGGGACGAGGCTGAGATAAGCAGCTCTGACAGAAGACAAATGAAGAGCAGCCTGTTGTAATTAAGACTGGACAAGTACAAGCATGGACCTATTAGCATGTTCCAGTGAGGCCCCAGGGACAGCAGGGACAGCGGGAGACAGCAGGAGGGGCCCATTCTACACATGTAATCTTCCTCCAACAGCACATGCTGAAGTCACCTCTGGAGAACATGTCGCTTCAATCTCGAACATTCCCAAAGGCCCTGAAAAATGCGGACATCAGGCCTCTCCTAAAATAGCAGCCTGGATGCCACGGTACTTAACAATTATCTGCGCATCTCAAATCTCCCATTTATGGGGAAAGTCCTTGAAAAAGTTGTCTACCAACAACTTTCAAACACATTTTGTTGCTGGTACCAAATTAAGTCCAATCTAGAATTCAGGAAGTACTTTGTGGAGATTGGAAACTGTGTCTCAGATCATGTGGCCCTGAGGCGTCCCACAGGGGTCGATCCTGGGACCTGTTCGACGTCTACATGCTGCCGTTGCTATTTTCCATCCTTAGTCCCCGCCATAGCCCCAACTTCCACCGCCGATATGGTCAGAATACGCAGTACCAATGTGTCCTATCACAACTACACAGACACACTCGGATCTATGTCTCAGGAGAACATGGACCAGCGGACTCACTCCAGACTTGCTCCGGATAAACTCCAGGCAAAACTGAAAGGATTGTCTTTAGTCCCAGAAACAAAGCAAGAGCGTTATCTGTCACCTCCAGTATCCCTCCCTAAACCCTCAATCAGATCTCGGTGTATTAATGGACTTAAATATGAATTGCCAAATCACGAACATCAGCAGCTTTTCACCCTCTGGTAAAACATTGCCAGAATAGAAAAGTATCTAAAGTAGACTTGGAGATTCTTTTTGCTGGTCTCTCCACCTCGTGATAATGTTTGTGTGTCCAGGGCTGAGGCGGAGTGTGTACCTGTAGATGAGGATGTGATCTCTGGAGCTGTTGTACTGGACCTGGTACCTCCGCACCCCTGGGATGTGGCTCTGGTCAGGCCAGGTGACAGTGGCGGAACTGGAGCTGAGGTGGGACACGCTGACGCGCTGCTGCTCGCCCCGGGCCTGGCCCCCGCTCCAGTTGGACTTGATGGAGGTGGGCACGTCGGAAGGGCCTGGCTCCGCATCCAGTTTGGGCTCATAGTGAGGGGAAGGGTTGACCACCAGCTCCACCGGGGCCGTGGCCTCTCCTGCAGCGTTTGAGGCGATGCAGGTGAACTTCCCTGAGTCCTGAGGAACCACAAGACGCCCGTGTGATCAGAGAGATGTACTTATCTGGACAATACTGGGATGAGATGCTGTGACACAGTATTTACTTTACATCCACTGAAGTTTGTCACATTACAAACACTTCTGGAGAAAGAATAGTTCGACCAATGGAGAGAGATTCCTCCTGATTTGAAAAAATAAATTCAAGGATTTTAAGTTATTTTATCAAATCAGGAGCAACGATGTTCTTGATAAATGACGATTCTGTCTCTCAAAAATGTAAAATTAAATTTAAAGACAACAATATTGGTAACAATATAAAAGCAAGTCATTTCTCACGAAGTGAGTGCAGGACAAATGTGCTGCAAGAATGCATATTGAATACATATATTTATGTGAAGTTTAAGTTTTTACAATAAATGTCATGAAATGTTTTGTATGAGTCACGAGGACCTGTAACACTCACACAAACATCATAGACTTGGCCTCGGCCGCTTGAATAAATGTTGGTCTTAAAAAGTTTGACCATCATGTTCTTGTCTTATTTAATCATGGTTTCAAAATAGTTTGGCAGAGTGAGAGCCTTCTGTATTTTACTTTCAGTTTTTAGTTCAATCATTTTGTGAGTGTTTGGACTGGACTTCGACCTTTACAAATGGAATGTGGATTATCTGTAAATGGTGTCGTGTGGAGCTTATTCCTTCTGAGGCGAAGGTGCAGAGACGTGCTCGTAGCAAACTCAGGGAGAGTCACCTTGACCGAGGCCTTGAGGATGTCCAGGGAGCCGTTGTCGTAGCAGATGGTGCGGCTGGTGTTGGCCATGAGTTTACCGTCGGGGCTCACCCAGTGGGTGATGGGCTCTGGGTCTCCGATGGACTTACAGCGCAGGCTCACCTCCTGCCCCTCCATCACAAACATCTTAGACGTGTGGCGGGTGATCATGGGCGGCTCGCACACAAACTCCTCCTGAAGAGAGAAAGGAAGGACAGAGGACACAAACATGAAGAAAACAGTCTGATTTTCATCACACCTGAACATACAGTAATGCATTTATATCACTACAGGGGGCGCCACGGGGGCCGCAGGGCAAGGTCACCATAATGTGGAGGCCGGACCGTTTTCAGGTGGTGACATTTGACAAAGTACATTTGCACAACATAGTGGCCATATTCCTTTAGCACAGCTAGAAGCAGATACCACAGTTTTAAAATGTTTACATTTAACAGAAGAAAAGGAGAGAAAAACATGGAGCCAAGTTTCTTCTGCATCTGATTCAGTTTGGCTTGGATTGAAATGTTTAGATGTTTTTGACTTATTCTTTATTTATGGGTTGGTTTCATGGCTTTGAGAAAAAATAAAGAATGTTGTTTCCATGAAATAAATAGCTCTATATTGAGGTATAACATGCCATGGAAGCACACCTTGAAATTATGTTTAAAAACTCTAAAAATCGGTTGACAGCTCTGCCTCCCTCCCCGAGTGTCTGAGACACCCGGTCGAAGGTCAGATGATACAATGGCAAAGTCAATCATCGACCTCCGGCCTAGGGTGTCCTGGTGCCACCTGCACTGGTGGACACCCTTGTGCTGGAACATGGTGTTTGTGATGGACAAACCGTGACTGGCACAGAAGTCCAACAACTGAACACCGCTCTGGGTGAGATGAGGGGGGCCGTTCTTCCCGATCACCCCTCTCCAAGTGTCACTGCCATTTCCCACATTGGCGTTGAGGGACAGGGACTCCAAGAAGGCCAGGTACCTTGCACTGCCGTTAATCACAACAGTGAGAGACTTGTCCCCCACCAGTAAGCGGAGGGACGCGACCCTCTCATTCACCGGGGAGAACTCCAACACATGGCGGCTGAGATGGGGGGCCATGAGAATGACCACCCCCGCTTGCCGCCTCTCCCCGCGAGAAACACACGAAAAGTGGAGCGTCCTAACCCCTCTTGGGTGAGTTGGGTTCCAGAGCCCAAGCCATGTGTGGAGGTGAGGCCGACTATCTATAGTCTGTATCTCTCAAACTCCCCCACGAGCTCGGCTCCTTCCTCCCCAGTGAGGTGACGTTCCACGTCCCAAGAGTCAGATGTTGTGTGTGCAGAGTGTGGACTGGGTTGTCGAAGTCTCCGCTTTCGATTTCTCCCCAGTCCTCTTAGCACCTCTCCACCCACAGATCCCTCTGTGGGTGGTTGGTCCACAGGTGGCCTGCCCACGTCATGGCCACCAGAGGCTCGCATAGGAGCCCCAACCCAGGCCTGGCTCCAGGGTGGGGCCTGGGCTGCTCCATGCCCGGTGACGTCACGGTTTTCAATAACATGCTATCCATATGTGATCTATTTACTCCAAATCAGTTTAGGATCATAGTCTTCCACTTGCTGCAGGGGGTGCACGTCTTTTTTGTATCATTTAAATGTTTTAAGTATTTTAAATTAATTTTTGTCTGTTAATGTTAGCATTTTAGCTCAATAGCTTCCAGGCCATGTGATCTATTGACTCATGGATATATAATATAGGATCATGTCAACACAGTGGCTGCCTGAGACAAAGTATGTTTATTTGGAAAAACGGAAGTCGATACACACTGCAACCTTCTTCTATTATTTATTTGTTTATTTGACAAGGACAGTGTACATTCATGAACATTACAGAATTAGCCACAAGGTTATTTTGTATCTGTTGCCCCTAGACAGATTTAAAATGTCACCTTAAAAGTAAACACTTAAAGAAAGACTAAACACCAAATCAACTTTTTTTTACTCGTAAACATGTTCATTTGTAGTGCTCTCTACAAATGCTGGACCTTTTTTTGACATCTTAGTGCAAATTAGATAAAATCTCACTTTTGAGCCTAAAAACGTGTGTGTGGCGCCCTCTCAACCTTTTTGGTGGCACTACATCTGAATTTGGTCCGGGCCTCTCCATTGACTGAATTCTGTGTGACGTCAGTTGGTGTGTGTGACATGCGTTTGTCTGCGCCAGTGATATAAACACTTTCAACTCTCACACACGGCTCAGCAGCCGGTTGGAGAATTCAGGCGACATCTAGTGGATTAAAATTAAATCACATTATTATATGACTTGGACCGTACACGCGCTCTGATTGGCTGATTACCGGTCTGATATTTTCCCATCTCGGACCGTTACCATAACAATTGGTCCGAACAGCGCGTATCACATTTAATATCTTTCCACGGACCGTTACCATGACAATCTGTCCGCAGCGCTTATCACACAAAACCAAGTCGGACATGAACATACTTCACAAATATCTCAAAAGCATTGATAAAGACACAGACGAGAGTCATATAATAAAACATTTATTAACCTCGCTTGCTCGGTTCGTAGAGAGAAATATCAGACCTTGGCCTTTTTGCACAGACCTCACCACGGCTCGGTCTGTACATTAAGGCAGCGGTCTGATATTTCTCCATACAGACCTCGCGCTCGGTTAATTAGCCGTTATTAGTTGACAGCCACTTCTGCTAAAATAATTCAGTGACTTAGGTTCAGGTGTGTGTTACGGGCAACGACCTATTGTGCCAGTTGTGCACTAGATTGCGCTCCCGTTGCTGTTTGTGTTTGTGTGCGCCGACTTGCTCTGTACAGGATCTGCAGGTGATCTATTGGAGGAGCTTCGGGCGTGGGCGGGGCCGGTGTGTCATCTGAGTGGCTGCAGCGGGACAAGTGCGAGGACGTCCTCCAACCCCGGGGATCCATCAATGAGGGCGTCCCCATATAACCTCCCATTCTCCGCCAGCTCGAGGCAGCTGGACCTGTTCCGTGCCAGTCTGACTTTACCACTCCTCCTGTGTTGTTGTTTTATTTTATGTTATGTTGTCACTTCGTTACTTTGAGCTCTAGTTTTGTTATATAGTGACATTATTTTATTTACTATCATTATGGAAATTACTTAAAATGCACTATACCATTTCCATCTGGTTTTTGTTGCGTTCATTAGCTAGATGAGCCGGACGTAACAGTGTGTAGCTTTACAATAATCTTAGTGTGTAAACAAGGGTGGAATGAGACTTTCTGGTGTGAACTATTGCTCTAAGCGGCAATGGCAATTGTCTGTTTTTTTGTTGTTTGACTGACCAATTCTAAGCCCCACTTCATGTCCCTTGGTTCTCCAGGCAACGCCCTGTTTTCAAATGTTCATGTGGGCAGAGCCAGGCTGGGCACAGGTGTTTAGTCGCTCTTTAATAATAAAATACCAGCGTACATGTCTCCCTGTGTTTACCGTACTGTCTGTAGTAGGGGTGAAATTAAATGTTGGAGTGGCTTTTGAGTCGCACTGTGCTCAGACCGAAGGAGAGGTTTACCGAGAGGGAACCACCGTTGAACGTCTTTCGGATATCCAAATTCAAACTAACTTCACCACGGTGGCCCGCGGCTGTGGTACACCTTCCTCTGTCTGCGGAGATCCACTCCCTCGCTGTCCAGTGATCGCATTAAAATGCGAACGGTCTCTCTGTCAGTCACAATATTATTCACAGAATTTCTGCTGCATCCATCGATAACCATGATACCAGATGTCACCAGTTTTGAACTCTAAAATACAAGTTTTAAAGTCAAAATTTCGAGTTTACAGACATTGTCATTTTGAGTTAAAAAAAATGAAATTACGAGCTTTTTTTTTTTTTTACATGGATGAAACGGGCTTCCATACCAAAGGGATGTACAAAATGTATGCCCAAAAATAACTTTGGAAAGCTTACCTTTATTAACAAAACAATCTCTGAGTAGATTAAAAATAAGAAACGAATGGTTAAAAGGAACATTGAAAATCTGGGCAGTAATTAAAAGAAATTTAAAATGTCGGACTCAATATGCGGGCTTCTAAAATAACTAAGAACGCTGACTTTGCACCAACGCACACAGAACGGGGGGATATGATAAATGGGAACAAGAAGGACTAATTTATATCGGACAGGTTTTTAAAGGGGAGAACTAGAAATCATTTGAACATTTGAACAATATGTATTTATGGCGAAGTCAGAAAGTAAGTAATCTTTATTTATATACCGCTTTTCACAGACCACAAAGCGGTTTACAATTGTTATTTTTTGGGCATTTGTCTCTCACTCCACACAGAGATGGGAGCGGAATCACCAGTACAGGAGGCGCATGCCAGACCTATTGTACATGTTTTTAGTGGTAGGGGAAACCGGAGCACCCGGAGGAAAACCACACAGACACGGGGAGAACACACAAATTCCACTCAGAAAGGCCCTGGTCCGACCAGGATTTGAACCCAGGACCAAGATAGCAAGAAAACGCTTAAAGCTATATAAAGCTCTGCATATGGAAGATGACAATAATACAGATATCAAAGAGAGGTGAGAGAGTGAAAGACTTATACTTTATTGATCCACAAGGGAAATCTAAAAATAAGAATATAAATTAAGAATAATAAGATATTTGTGAGAATAGAACAATCAGAAGTACTCAGGAATATACATATCAGTGAATATGGACACATTTACAGTATGAAATAGTATACTATTATACATCTGTTAATATACAGAATAAGGACAAAGCAGATGTATTATCTGTCACAGAGCGGTGACTTGTTGAATAGCTGGATGGATTGTGGCATGAACGTGCTCTTGTACCGCTCACTGTTGCAGCGGAGCGGAGTCTGTTTTATAAGGAGCTCCTTTGCCCCTCTATAGTCCGGTGGAGTGGATGTGTTGGGTTGTCCATGACGGAGAGCATTATTTCCAGTGACCTTCTGTCTCTCATTGTTGTAAATGTCTCCAGCTGACAGCCAATCACCTGTCCAGCTATACAGATCAGCTTGTCAATCCGAGAGCGGTCCCTTTGGGGGTACTGCTCCCCCAGCAGACCACAGTGTAAAAAAGGGCACTGGAGACCACATACAGTACTGGACAGTTTGCTGCACACATGGAAGGATCTGAGCTTCCTCAACTCAGATCTAAGAAAAATTATAATACCAAATGAAAAGTGGGCAGAGACATTTGGAGAAGGACATGCAAGCTTTGTCAGTGCTACTTGGAGGGAGTTTGAGTGGAAATTAAAATCGGGCTTCTTCCTGGTACCACTACATGTTTTCAAATCTAACAATGTGCCCAGCACAGGCTGGAGAGGTCAAACAGGTGATAACAAACACATCTTTTGGAACTGCCCTAAAATTATGGAATGCTGGGAAACACTCAAAAACAGACAAAAGTCCAGTAATAAAAAAAATTATATAAGCTTATTATAAATCATAACTTGAGCCCCATAGCCCTAAGGTATTACTATTATTTAAAAGTGTTTTGGGATGAGTGGGTTGAATGCCCTAAAAGCTATTGAAGAAAAACAGGTATTTTTAACCAACAAAATAATTTTAACATTTTAAATGCTTTTAAGAACGATTTCAAGGGCTGAGCCCCATAGCCCTCATTTAGTACTATTATTTAAAAGTTGTTTGGAGTAAATGGGTCAAATGCCCTAAAAGCTATTGAAGAAAAACAGTTATTTTTAACCAAAAAAATCATTTACATTTTTTAAAAGCCTTTAAGAACAATTTCAAGGGCTGAGCCCAATAGCCCTCATTTAGTACTATTATTCAAAAGTGGTTTGGAGTAAATGGGTCAAATGCCCTAAAAGCTATTGAAGAAAAACTGGTATTTTTAGGCAAAACATAATTTTAAAAGCTTTTAAGAAAAATTTCAAGGGCTGAGCCCCATAGCCCTCATTTAGTACTGTTATTTAAAAGTGGTTTGGAGTAAATGGGTCAAATGCCCTAAAAGCTATTGAAGAAAAACAGGTATTTTTAACCAAAAAAATCATTTAAAAATGTTAAAAGCTTTTAAGAAAAATTTCAAGGGCTGAGCCCAATAGCCCTCATTTATTACTATTATTTAAAAGTGGTTTGGAGTAAATGGGTCAAATGCCCTAAAAGCTATTGAAGAAAAACAGGTATTTTTAACCAAAAAAATCATTTAAAAATGTTAAAAGCTTTTAAGAACAATTTCAAGGGCTGAGCCCCATAGCCCTCAGGTAGTACTATTATTTAAAAGTGGTTTGGAGTAAATGGGTCAAATGCCCTAAAAGCTATTGAAGAAAAACAGGTATTTTTAACCAAAAAAATCATTTAAAAATGTTAAAATGCGGCACGGTGGCTGAGTGGATAGCACTCTCGCCTCTCAGCAAGAAGGTCCTGGGTTCGAATCCCGGCCGGACCAGGGCCTTTCTGAGTGGAGTTTGCATGTTCTCCCCGTGTCTGCGTAGGTTTCCTCCGGGTACTCCGGTTTCCCCTACCACTAAAAATATGTCCAATAGTTCTAGCATGCGCCTCCTGTACTGGCGACCGCGCTCCCATCTCTGTGTGGAGTGAGAGACAAATGCCAAAAAATTAACAATTGTAAACCGCTTTGAGACTCAGATCTGCAGTGAAAAGGCGGTATATAAATAAATACTTACTTACTACTACTTACTTAAAAGCTTTTAAGAAAAATTTCAAGGGCTGAACCCAATAGCCCTCATTTATTACTATTATTTAAAAGTGGTTTGGAGTAAATGGGTCAAATGCCCTAAAAGCTATTGAAGAAAAACAGGTATTTTTAACCAAAAAAATCATTTAAAAATGTTAAAAGCTTTTAAGAACAATTTCAAGGGCTGAGCCCCATAGCCCTCAGGTAGTAAAATTATTTAAAAGTGGTTTGGAGTAAATGGGTCAAATGCCCTAAAAGCTATTGAAGAAAAACAGGTATTTTTAACCAAAAAAATCATTTAAAAATGTTAAAAGCTTTTAAGAACAATTTCAAGGGCTGAGCCCCATAGCCCTCAGGTAGTACTATTATTTAAAAGTGGTTTGGAGTAAATGGGTCAAATGCCCTAAAAGCTATTGAAGAAAAACTGGTATTTTTAACCAAAAAAATCATTTAAAAATGTTAAAAGCTTTTAAGAACAATTTCAAGGGCTGAACCCCATAGCCCTCAGGTAGTACAATTATTTAAAAGTGGTTTGGAGTAAATGGGTCAAATGCCCTAAAAGCTATTGAAGAAAAACAGGTATTTTTAACCAAAAAAATCATTTAAAAATGTTAAAAGCTTTTAAGAACAATTTCAAGGGCTGAGCCCCATAGCCCTCAGGTAGTACTATTATTTAAAAGTGGTTTGGAGTAAATGGGTCAAATGCCCTAAAAGCTATTGAAGAAAAACAGGTATTTTTAACCAAAAAAATCATTTAAAAATGTTAAAAGCTTTTAAGAACAATTTCAAGGGCTGAGCCCCATAGCCCTCAGGTAGTACTATTATTTAAAAGTGGTTTGGAGTAAATGGGTCAAATGCCCTAAAAGCTATTGAAGAAAAACAGGTATTTTTAACCAAAAAAATCATTTAAAAATGTTAAAAGCTTTTAAGAACAATTTCAAGGGCTGAGCCCCATAGCCCTCAGGTAGTACTATTATTTAAAAGTGGTTTGGAGTAAATGGGGTCAAATGCCCTAAAAGCTATTGAAGAAAAACTGGTATTTTTAGGCAAAACATAATTTTAAAAGCTTTTAAGAAAAATTTCAAGGGCTGAGCCCCATAGCCCTCATTTAGTACTGTTATTTAAAAGTGGTTTGGAGTAAATGGGTCAAATGCCCTAAAAGCTATTGAAGAAAAACAGGTATTTTTAACCAAAAAAATCATTTAAAAATGTTAAAAGCTTTTAAGAACAATTTCAAGGGCTGAGCCCCATAGCCCTCAGGTAGTACTATTATTTAAAAGTGGTTTGGAGTAAATGGGTCAAATACCCTAAAAGCTATTGAAGAAAAACTGGTATTTTTAACCCAAAAATAATTTTAAAAGCTTTTAAGAAAAAATTCAAGGGCTGAGCCCCATAGCCTAGAGGTAGTACAAATTTTGTAAAGTGTTTTGGGGTGACTGGGTCAAATGCCCTAAAAGGTATTGAGGAAAAACCCATACTTTATATAAAAAAATCCTTGAAAAATACACCAAATCTATTAAGCATAATTTCATTGCCTGAGCCCCATAGCCTAGAGGTAGTACTAATTTTGTAAAGTATTCTGGGGTGACTGGGTCAAATGCCTTAAAAGCTATTGAGGAAAAACCCATACTTTCAATCAAAAATCCTTGAAAAATACACCAAATCTATTAAGCATAATTTCATGGCCTGAGCCCCATAGCCTAGAGGTAGTACTAATTTTGTAAAGTGGTTTGGGGTGACTGGGTCACATAACCATAAACCTATTGAAAAAAATATTGTATTTTTTGGTGATTTTCCAGGATTATGATTTTTCTAAAGTTTCAAAACATGAAAATAGGAATAAAAACGTGTGGTAAATATTATTTACTTTGCTGGTTCACATGATTCCGAATATAGGCTTATTGAAAATATATAGGCTACATTCAACAGTAGGTATAAAATACTATAATATTAAATGTGGTAGAAAATACACCTAAAGATTACATTTAATCTATCTCCTTTCATTAAAATTGTTTATTTGTATCACATTATTGATTTACACCTACATTATTTTTTTTAAACCAACGCCTTTTTACAAAGACAGTAATTCATAGACGGTCCCTAAGTTCGAACGATCTTAGTGCTGGAGGCGAATATCCAACGTCCAACGTGAAACCAACTTCACCGCGGTCCACCACCGGGGTTTCGGCCCAAGAGGATTTCATTTCAAAATCTCTACTTGGATTTCCCTTTTGTGCATTCAGAATCCAGTGCTCTGCCGGGGGTCTAAGTGCCACAATGTACAGAATGCAATAAATGTCATTCTTACATATGAAAGAATTGTATGTAATGTAAAAGATGACTATGCAAAACCAATAAATATCCGTCTAATAACCCCCTTTTTCAGTTGAGTCTCTTTTGCCCAAATGGCAGTAATATGTCTGGGGCCTGAAATGGTTTTTGCTTGGGCTCGCCAAAAGGCTTGGCCCTGCACGGCCACGGGAACCTACTCCCAGACTATTCATAGTTACAGGTTTACTTTTGTGTAGACTGTGCTCCTAAAATAGCCCATCCATTACCCCAGAGCAAACACCCCCCTCCCCGTCTCTGTGTAGCACTGACCCACAGACTGTGAATACTGACCAGGCTGGACATGTTGGCGAAGTCGCGGTGGCGCAGCGTGGTGATGAAGTTGTCCATGAGGCGCAGCTCGGCCGTCTGCCTGTCCACGTTCGGAGGCACGAAAAGCAGGCCCGTGTTGGCACAGAGCACGGTGAAGGACGGCATGAGGTTCTGACAGGTGCAGCGCTTCGGACACAGGGCTGTGTGGCCAGCAGGGGGCAGCACCAGCAGCAGCGGGAGCAGGAGGAGCGGCCACAAGAGCAAGCGCCGCGTCATGGCTCCTGCAGACAGAGAAGACACAGCGGTCAGGGCCATTCCACCAGGGACGTGCAGTCAGGGGAGGCAGGGGAGGCAGAGCCTCACCTGCCATTATTGGAAACTAATAATTATTTTAGTTTAAATATATAATTTATATCCACTGTCCTATGCTTTTAATGTATATTCGGCACGGTTCCCATCAGTTTTGATCATTTCTGAAGTCAAAATCGCCGAAATCCCGTTATTCCTATTCAAAGAGACGAGGTGAGGCAGCGCTCCTGCGTGCCTCACCCCAGACCGCTCCCTCACAGTGTGTGTGTGTGTGTCTGAGTGCACTCAGCTCGTGCAGTTGATATATCACCGTTTGTTTCAAATATCCTGCTTTAAAAACATTTTTTAAACTCCTCTTAGTGTTTAGTAGTGTATTGCACGTATGTGTGTACAATTTATATTTAGTTTAAGTCTTTTGATCGTAGATGAACACACAAGGAAAAAGCTTGGCGTGAGGCAGGCGGTATCTGTGCCTCACCGCTAGGGGTGATAGTGAGCATAAAGTTCATACCAGAGTTGCTAACAAACAATCAGCCCAAAATGCTATTTCTTTTGCTGGAAAATGGATGATTTGAATGAAGATTTTTTTTCTCAATTGGACTTTCAAACAAAGAAAGAATTAATATAGACTGGGAGACCACCACTGGACTTACGAGGTTAGTCCGGCTGCGGGGGAGGAGTTTGTTAATCTGTGTTTTATTGTGAGATTTCATAACACTTTTAAGCAACTTTTGTTAAAGTTAAACTCATCATTCTATCAATGTGCAGAAGCCAGTACTTTTCCCTTGTTTTGTCTATCTGAAGGCCAAGCTACATGGCACCGTGGCAGCTGCTGATTGGAGGTCTCCATGCCTCCGCTCTGTATAATACACTTGCATTCTGTTGTATCTGTTGATCGTGCTGTCTCTACCATCGACAATAAAACATGTCTTCTGTCTGAATTTAAGACGCGATCCCAGACTATGTCATCTTCTTCAGGTGGTGGAAGGATGCGGGCCTTGTCTGTAACATCTAGTGAACAGAAGACTACTTTTTTTTTTACACAAAAAGTGTTTTTTTTTTAAGCCAAAACTGAAAAACCTCAAGAGAATGCATCTGGACCAGCACACTTGGACAATCTGCACAGCCCCTGATTCCAGTCAGGCTGTGAGCTGCTGAGACATGGACAATACCATCGTCCTCTTTTGCATGGACACCATTTGGAAAAATTGGGTTACACAATTTGGACATGATTTGGAACAATCTGGATTTCTGAATTTGGACATAATTTGGACTGAATTGGATTGCTGAATCTGGACACTGAAGCTGAAACGTGTGATTGAAAGACACGTCACAGAAGAATTCATGGCTCGACACAAATGCAGCCTGAAGAATCCAACACGGAGAAGTGGGAGAGACTGTTTTCAAAGCAATATCTGGAACCACCATCGACTGATGAAGTTTGGTATTTTACTGAAGATTGTTGACAAGTTTTATGAAAGATCTGAACATGTTTTATGAGTTTTATGAGTTTTTGAAGTATTCCGAGTTCTGAGTTTTTTGAAGTACCGAGTTTAAGTATTGAGTTGTGATGTTATGTTGCTGTTTATCGATCCTGATGGTCACACGTGAATGTATGACCAGAGGGGGGAATGTGAGATTTCATAACACTTTTAAGCAACTTTTGTTAAAGTTAAACTCATCATTCTATCAATGTGCAGAAGCCAGTACTTTTCCCTTGTTTTGTCTATCTGAAGGCCAAGCTACATGGCACCGTGGCAGCTGCTGATTGGAGGTCTCCATGCCTCCGCTCTGTATAATACACTTGCATTCTGTTGTATCTGTTGATCGTGCTGTCTCTACCATCGACAATAAAACATGTCTTCTGTCTGAATTTAAGACGCGATCCCAGACTATGTCATCTTCTTCATTATGTTGAACATTGACAGATACCGGCAAAGTAGTGCTTTTCCGAAAAACACTGATTCAAACACTGCTCAAGAGTTCTGCAACTTGTTTAAATTATTGTTTATGTTCCTCGCGTCTCTCTCTCCTCGCGTCTCCGTCTCTCTCTGCTCCTCGCGTCTCCGTCTCTCTGCTCCTCTCTGTCTCTCTCTGCTCCTCTCTCCTCGCGTCTCTCTCTCCTCGCGTCTCTCGCACCTGCGCTTCTTAAAGATGTTGTTTGATGCGGAGCAGAGTCAGCAGCTAGATTTGTTGTGAGATTATTAAAAGAAGCTGGTTCTCTTATCTTTACAGTATATAAAGTTTGTGGATGTCATTGCATTGGTGATTAAATGCTATTTTATTTGAATAATGATTGTAAATCTGACTTTTAAAGTCAGTGCCTCCCCAATCACAAACCTCACCGCACGTCCCTGCATTCCACAGGTTACAGTAGGAGTTGTACCCATGTCAATATTTACAGTAGTTCAACATCAGTCAAGTGGATCCATAAACCCGTGATGTCCTCAAAGCACAATTCGAGCACAAGAAAAGCTGTCGAAACATTCCTTTGGCAAGATAAATATGACGTCACACATTTCTACACATCATTCAGTAACTTGTATAACTGGGACAAGCTTTGGTCCTTGTTTACAATGTGGTTGCTGTGGTAACTATCCATCCATCCATCCATTCAGCAGAGAATTCTGGCAAAGTAGGGTTAAGTTTCTTGCCCAAGGACACAACGACATCAGTGGGAGTTGGTGGAAAAGGTCTCGTTGTGGGCTCAAACCCAGAACCTTCAGGCTCAAAGGCCATTGCTCTACCAACTGAGCCACTCTCGCCCCAGCGGTGGAAACAAACTTATTTCTCACCTGTCGCTCATGTGAAGTTAAATTAAGGTACAGTGAACGTCATCGTCCCCACGGTGTGTCTGCATTTGACCCATTCTTCTCCGGCAGTGGTGGGCCGTACATGTCAGACCTGTTCCAATCGTGCAGCCCTCGTTTTCACAGGTGTAACTCAATTCAATTCAATCAAATGTATTCTTTTATCGCCCTAAATCACCAGAGGACTTAATAAACCCGTGGATTTCGCCAACACAGATCAGAGAATCAAACCGTTCCAACACCAAAAATATAGAACACATAGATATAGTAACTCACAGTTCTGTTCAAAATAAACATAAGAAATATCACAGTTGAACACACTCGACTAAAATTAACTCTCTGGTTACAAAGACACCTGGTGCAAGAACAGATTTAGTGACAGTGTAATAGTGAAAATGTGAAAATGGAATAATCGTGTAACAGTGGTGTAATCGCTGCGCAGTAGTGAAATAGTGGTGAAATAATATCATCTTCAAATCCAACTTTAACTGCTTCTATAAAAAAGCAAAAAAGTTCTTGCCTTATGATTTGAAATGAAATAGACGGTTGTGAGACAGGTTAGTTCTGCTCTACTGATGATGTGTTGTTGCAATAGTAATCCTGCGGTCGACTCGAATATTCACAAAATTCAAGGTTCATTGAGAAGTACAATTAAAAGAAATTAAGACATTTCATGGTCTTGCCTCAGATGCAGGCCCAGGAGGACCAGGATCCCCAGGAGGACCAGGAGGCTCAGGAGGACCAGGAGGATCAGGACTATGTAGGTTTGTGGAGATGAGTGGATCTGTAGAGGCAGTGAAGCCCTGGGCGTGCTGCGAGCGGCCCTGAGTAAGTGGCCCTATACAAGCCGCTTTATGCTCTTGATGCGCAGCGTGAGAGATTGTCTACAGATGGACAATGCTAGCCTGCTAGCTCAATGAAACCCATGAGTGAATGGCTCATTGACAAAGTTTTGCTCCAAATCGCACTGAGTCCTCGAGCTCAGTAACTGTGTCACATTCACTAATTTGAATTTTAAAAATCTGTGATATGGTTTTCTATAATCTTGGGGTTTTATCTTTTTAAAAATGTTTAACGATATCCGGCTGAACACTGATGCAAGCCAAGTCTCAATCTTGTTAGATCTGAGTGCTGCCTTTGACACCGTCGACCATGAGATCCTCTTACAGAGACTAGAGGACTGGGTTGGAGTCGCTGGCACCGCCCTAAGTTGGTTTAGGTCTTACCTTGAAGACAGGAAGTACTTTGTGGAGATTGGAAACTGTGTCTCAGATCATATGGCCCTGACCTGTGGAGTACCACAGGGGTCGATCCTGGGACCTCTTCTGTTCAATCTCTACGTGCTGCCGTTAGGTCAGTTAATACGCAGAAACAAAGTGTCCTATCACAACTATGCAGATGACACTCAGATCTATGTCTCACTGACTGCAGGAGAACATGGACCAGTGGACTCACTCCTTCACTGTATCCAACAGATCAGTGAATGGATGCAAAACAACTTCCTTCAGCTAAACGCAGACAAAACTGAAATGATTGTCTTTGGTCCCCAGAAACAAAGAGAGAGCATCATCTGTCACCTACAGTCTCTCTCCCTAAAACCTTCAAACAAGGTCAGAAATCTAGGGGTAATACTGGACTCAGACTTAAATTTTAATAGCCACATCAAATCAGTAACATCAGCAGCTTTTTACCATCTAAAAAACATTGCCAGGATCAAAAACATAGTGTCTAAAGCAGACTTGGAGATTCTTATCCATGCATTTGTCTCCAGTAGGTTAGACTACTGCAATGGCCTGCTCACAGGTCTGTCCAAACAGGCTGTAAAACAGCTGCAGTACATTCAAAATGCAGCAGCTCGAGTCCTGACTAGAACCAGGAAGTACGACCATATTAGTCCTGACTAGAACCAGGAAGTACGACCACATTAGGCCCCGTCCCAATACCCACACTGCACCCTACACACTTCTACGAAGTGTGCATTTGTTCGAAGTGCACACCAGGGTTGGAGTGCGCAGGTTACAAGTGTGCAAAAAAGGCAGAATTGGGACAGTGCACTGAGTGCAGGTGACGTCATCGACTCGTCAAGAGATGGTCATTTTCAGACCTAAACTTTATAAACATTAAAGGTAATTTTGTCTGACCCTTTGGGAAACAAATTGAATTGCTTCACACACGTTAAAATACATGTATATTAGT